TTGGTATTGCGCGACTGATCCGTTGAGGGCGAGGCACCGGGATCACGACGCATGCTGGTTGGGTTGCGTTCCGGGTTGGTATTGCGCGACTGATACGTTGAGGGTGAGGCATCGGGATCACGACGCATGCTGGTTGGGTTGCGTTCCGGGTTGGTATTGCGCGACTGATACGTTGAGGGCGAGGCACCGGGATCACGACGCATGCTGGTTGGGTTGCGTTCCGGGTTGGTATTGCGCGACTGATACGTTGAGGGTGAGGCATCGGGCTCAGGATTAGTGCCGCCTGATTCACCATTTGTGTCTGCAGGGTTTGACTCCTCCGCCAGTGGTGGGGCAACGACTGGTATTGGGAGGGCAGAGATGTTGAGGAAGGCTGCGCACACGTCGGCGTATTTGGGGCACCTGATGCTCCCCCCGCTCCATTTGTCCCCCGACGGCGCAACCGTCTCACCCTCATTGCAGTCGTACCACGTGCCGTCGCCAAGGAACTGCACCCTCAGCCTACCCCCACTGCACTGCGTGTTCACGCACACATCGCCAATCTCTTGGTAATCATAAAGAAGCCCCTCCCCCTTTACGCACCGTGAGTTCGAGCCAATGAAGCTTCCAGGGATAGATTCAGTGTTTCCGTTGGTACACCCAGACGCTTCACGCTCAACAACAAACGGACAGTAGTCCATATACACCGAACCTCCAAGTATGGGGTTATCAAAGTACTGAAACTGCGGTGCAATGGGCTGCGAGTAAATCCGTATATTACATTTCCCCAGAGAAAGACGGTCATACGTGCAGAGCAGCTGGCGGTCACTTCTTTCCTGTTTACAGAACAACTCAGGGTAGTCGGTGTAGTCATTGGTAAAGCACTTATTTTTCAGCAACCCGCAACCAGAGTTGTTGCCCCACCGCAACGGCTCCGCGATGTCGTAGTTAGCCTTGTACAGACCCATGTCCTCAAATGCAGCAAGCGTGAATGCCGAGTAATAAATGGACGGGAACACAGGAGTCATGAACTCGTCCTGTGCGCTGAGTTTCTTCCAGTGGCTCAGCTCCTTAACTTCATCAGTCCCCTGCAGCTCCATGCCCTCAAGTGTGGGGCAGTTGTAGTACTTCCTCGCCAGCTCCTTCACCTTCGGTGAGGAAACCACCCACACCTCCTCCTTCCCTCGCACATTGGGGATTTGGGAGAGCATATTGAACCTCAAAAAGAATTCAGACGAAAACCCAAGAACGTGCGCTATCTCGTGCGCTGCAGTACGAATAGCTTCATGGGTGGCCTTTATGTGCTGGGGGTTGAACCTCGTGACGCCAGTGTATGGGCGTCCGTCCTCCAGAATGAGGCAGCGAGTCGCCCATGCAACGGTCCCCCCACTCACAAGAGTGTCGATGTAGAGGACCAGGTCGGCGCCGCTCACGCCGATCGTGTGGTGCCAGGGAGGGATGGTGATGTTTAAAATCTTGCACGGCCCTAGACCACTATCTGGGATACGGATGGGACCCTCCAGAGGCCTCACGGACAGACGCTCAGCGTGCAGCTTAATTGCGGCCGGGAGGAGTTGCTTCAAAAGAATGTCCTTCTTCGCCTCCGTCAACATCATGGCATCAGTGCATTCCTGCCAGCTACCACTGACCAGGAGCCAATGCTTCCCTGGGAAGCAGTGCTTCGACGGGTCGTCAATGTCCTTCGCGGACACTTTGATGCGGATCGGGGCCCACCCACTCCCCACGCCTTGTGCGGCGACGGTGTACGCCTGCATCTCGCCCTGTCCTTTGCGCGGCACATCACGCACCACCGCAGTCGGCGGCGGGTCCCTCCCCATCATCTCGCCAAACCCGCAGCGGTGCTTCCGGACGGAATCGGCAGCGAGGCACCCAGCGGCACAACACACCAACATCAGCAAAAACACCGCCAGTGATAGAAACGGCATGCTGCGGGGTGGCTGGCACATCGCCTGAAGAAACTGCCTGTGTTGCTTCCGTTTGAACATCACCAGCGGCATTATTAGTGGTGGCAGTAGTAGCAGTAGTAGTGGTGGCGCAGACCTTTTCCGCGGGACAAAAAACAAAAAAAGGAATACAACGATAGTCAACGCCGGCGTCCACAGTTGGGCACCCCGCAAAAAAACAGCGACAATCCAAAACTGAGGCCGCACCGACAAACGCGTGGACTGCACGATCGCACACTCGCCGCTGCCCGAAGAAACACCCACACGCACCCGCACGGAGAGTCCGCAGTGTGGGACGCACCCGCATAAATCAAAAATAATAATAAACAAATTCATAACCACCTCGCTTACCGTCTCCCCCGCCCAGCCCCTTCAAACCCCGCCAGCAGCAACACGCAGTGCGCATGCCGGCGGGACCTCCCATCACGGCCCCCACCTCCCTCAGCGCACTAAAGCAGGAGTGCGGCGCAACGTCAAAATTGAAAAAAAAAACAATAAAAACAATACAAAATAAACGGTGCACGCAGCACCACCACAAGAAGACACACGCAGCAGATGCCTTCCCTCTGCGGCCACAAAAACAAACTCTCGCAGCGAGACCACCGCCACCAACAAACCCAAACGCAATCGCCCGCCTCCCAGCCGCACCGCGGTGCTC